ATTCCCTTCTCCCTACTAGACGCCAACCCCAGGAGGTGTTTGGGTCTGCAGTACTGGTTGCATTGGGCACGTAGCAGGTACCTGTTAGGGGATGGGTTGTGTCCCCCCCAAAAGATACACTGAAGTTCCAACTCCGGAAGCCTGTGATTGTGACCTTATATGGAAGTAGGGTCTTTGCAGATGGGACGAGGACATAAATTAAGGCGAGGGGATACTGTGGCAGGACGGGCCCTAATCCAACAAGAAGAGACACAGGGCGAGTCCCATACAGAGACAGAGGCACCTGGAGGGCCCCCACACAGCCTCAGCACAGCTCTGCTCCCCCACCCCCAGTTCTCAGCGGACAATGTTGGTTTTCACTGAGCATGGGGGGCGAAGACTCAGTGAACTTGCAGATTCAGTTAAGGGGGTGTGAACTGCACCTAATGAATCTCCGTCCCCCGACAAGCTGGGCTCATATACGTTGAGTTGAAAAAAATAAACAGAACACAAACCAACTCTCTAAACATTTTGGGATCACGGACCCCCTTTGGGAATGAAATGAAAATGGGGCCCTGTCGCCCTGGCCAGTGTGGCTCAGCCGTTAGAGCATCGGCCCATGGACCAGAGAGACCCGGGTTAGGTTCCTGCTAAGGGCACGTACCTCGGCTGCAGTTTGTCCCTGGCCCCAGTGGGGTCATGTGGGTGGCAACCAGTCGATGTGTCTCTCTCATATCGATGTTTCTCTCTCTCTCTTCCTCCCTCTCTCCCTCCCACTCTATCTGAAGATAAATGCAAAAATGTCCTTGGGTGAGGATTAAAACAAAAGAAATGGGACCCTCTCCCAGGCCAATCACACACAACACTCAGCATAAATTTCAGGGGGGTCAGCACCCTTTGGGCCCACACGGCCTCCTAAAAGCCCACGGGCAGGTAGAAGGGCCTCCACGGCACACCCTGCGACCCTGCTCTATCATTGACAGTGGCATTTGTCACGTAAACCCCATGGTGACTGTCTCCGTTTTATGGAGGTGAGACAGGAGCCCCAGACAGGTGAAGTAACTTGCCCAAATTTATACCTGGACAGTCTGACCCGGAGGCCATCCATCCATCCATCCATCCATCCATTTCTTCTTTCGTTTTAAAAACATGATAATAAAATACACATGACGTAAAGCTTACTTCTCTGCCATTCAAGGGTGTAGCTCAGTGACAGCAGGCTACGGGGATGCCCTTCAGAGCGGTGGAACCGGTCCAAACAGAGGCTCCGTGCCCTCAAGGCAGTGGCTTTCCGTTCCCCTCCCCCAGCCCCAGGTCTCCTCGGTCCCACTTTCTGTTTCTGTGAAGGTAAGGACTCAGGAATCGCGGTCACACTGGTGGAATCACACAGTATCTGTCCTTCCGTGACCAGCTCGTTCTACTGAGCATCCTGACCTCACGGTTCAGCCACATTCGAGGTTTTGGAATTTCCTTCCTTTTCGAAGCTGAGTAATATTCCACCATGTGGGTGGCCCACAGGCTGCGTATCTGCCATCTGCCAGCGGACACTCGGGTTGTTTTCACCTTGGCTGTCGTGAGTGCCGCTAGGGACACGCGTTCACACAGCTGCTCATGGCCCCGCCCTCCGTGCTCTGGGACCGCTGGGTGCTACGGTACTTCTCTCTGGTGTTTTGAGGAACCACCAACTCTTTCCCATGGCGCTGACCACTGCACTTCCCACCACAGCGCACAGAGTTCCGATTTCCCCGCGTCCTCGCCAACACCCGTCAATTCCTGTTTTTCTGACAGCAGCCATCATAATGGGTACGTTCACCTATCTCTTAACCTCCAGGCCTCAGTTTCCTCATCTGTGGACTGGGGACAGGGACTGTCACAGGGCAAAGAAGACACACTACTGCTTGGCCATAAGGACTGCTCAGCAGACGACAATGAACATCGCCAGAGGAGGGAGCCCTGCCCCCCACACCTCCACAGGGATCGCGGTGGAATCAGGCGGAATCACACCCGCAGTTTTCCCTGTAGACAGCGGAGGAGGAGACTAGGAAGAGGGCTGGCGCACACCTACAGCCTTACAGTGAGGGGGAGAGCATCAGCTCTCCCTGACCCCTCCTCCACCCCCGCCCTCCACACACACACACACACACACCACACACGTGCGCACGCACACGCACCACACATGCACAGATGCGTGCGCACACGCGCGCGAAGCCAGGTCTTCTTCCCTCCTGCAGTTTCTATTCTCGTCCTAAGTTCCATCCATCTCCAGTTACCGGGTGATCAATAGGAACAGGACGTTTGGGAAGAAGACAGAAAGCAAGAAGGGGGGGGCTCGAGGTAGAAGACCAGGCGAGTCAGCAGCCCCGGGCTCAGATGGGCAGCCCCGCCCAGCAGACTCTGGGGAAGTGGACTAGCTCACCCAGTCCAGGCCCAGCTGGGCCGCTAGGGTCTAGCAGGTCTCATCTCTCTCCAAGGACGTCAGCCTCCTGAGCAAAAGGGGATGAGGATGCAATGCCTGGCACCCACCACATTTTAAAACGGTATCTATACGTTCTGTTTACTTAATCAACATTTGTTATTGTACAGAATAGGGGCACAGAACCTCCTCCATCATCTCCCACAAACACCACCCTGCTCGGCTTGCATACCTCCAGGAATGGGGAACACACTCCTTTCTTTCCTCTCTCTGGCTGGAAAGGCCCAGCTAGACTGGTTCCCTGGAACCTCCGAGAGTATTCTGGGCAGAAGAATTTGCCCCTGAGCAGGGTCTGGGGGTGAGGCAGATGACCAATGCCCCTTCTCTCTGCCCCATACTCAGAGTTGGTGGACTTGGCGAGGCTGTTCTGCCCATGTCGCAGACCCCAGGGTGCCTGCTGAGTGCTGTTAGTCTAGTGGCTATGTTATCACCGTGGCAAGAGGACGGACGTAAAAATCTCAGCAGAGGGGCACCCCAGTAGCTCGTGAGCTGCCAGTGGGTTCTGTTTGATCTGTAAAAGGTTTTCCAAGAATTTCGAAGTACATTTCACGTATGTATCTGCTATGTGCCTTCTCTTGCAACATCAAAAGATCTGGCAATACTGGTCGCTTGTCCTGAGGGCCTGCTCTCTCCACTTCTCCACAGACCACACCCTTCCCTTTTGCCCCTACACCCATATATTGTCTTCCAGGCCACTTTGGATGTTTAGGTGTATAATCCCCATAATCCAATAAAGCACGTTTCCCCACTCCTTTCCAGCTGCGGTTTCTGGGGGTTGGTATGGTCATGCCCTCCTTCCCGGGCAACCCTGGCCCCTCACTTCTCCATCACCACTCCGGACACCACGCCAGAGGAATGGGACACACACATGCTCTTTAATGCATCATCTCACCACATGCCAGGGAGGTCATTACGACATCTCCACTTTGAGAAGGTTGCTGGGGGCAGTGAGCTCCCCCACCCCGCCTCGTGGGGTTGCAGCTCACCCGGCCCTCTTCTCACGGTGATTGGTGCTCGTTCCTCATTCCCCAGGTCCTGGGCTCTCCTGATGCTGCACCCCTCCCCCAGAGCCAGGTGTCTCTGCCCTCTGCCTCCTGCCCCCTCCTCTCCCCTGGGTCCTCCTTGAAGTCGGAAAAGGCTGACATTAGTGACAGAGCAAGAAATAACCATTGTATCAGAGCCCTTCAGACCTGGGAGGGAGGCTGGTGACACGGTCCCACATAGAGAGGGACTTGAGCTTAGACATGTTTGGGTTGCATCTTGGCTGTCTGGTATGACCGCCTTACATACCCTGACCTCAGCCTGTGGGGAAAGCTCACAGGGTAGGGATCAGGTCTGGCTTGCTCAATGACGTAGTCTCAATTTGTGGGCTTAGGGATTCAAGAAGCATGGGGAAAGTGAATGTCTATTGATGAAATAAGAAAATGTACATGGAGCCCTTAGCTCTGCTCAATAGGAAATGAGCTGTAGCCAATGCTCAGTAAATATCAGCTGCTATTATTTTTTTTTATCCTCACCTGAGGGCATTTTTCCATTTTTTTGTTCAGATAGACTGGAAGGGAGGGAGGGAAGAAGGGAGGGAGGGAGAGAGAGAGAGAGGGAGAGAGAGAGAAACATCGACATGAAAGGGACACATCGAGTGGCTGCCACCCGCACGACCAACCAGGGCCGAGGACAAACTGCAACCGAGGTACATGCCCTTAGTGGGAACCAAATCCGGGTCTCTCTGGACCGCAGGCTGACGCTCTAACCGCTGAGCCAAACCGGCCAGGGCTCAGCCTCTATTATTAGCAGGTCACACAGGACACACCTATATCTCTGGCTCATGAAATTCTCAAGGAGCCCAGAACAGGTTCAATCTGAGATTCCAGAGCCTGAAAGCCCCTGGGGGGTCCCCAGGTGCTCCCTCAGGATGGGCCCCACATCCACCTTTGCCACCCCATCCTGTCTCTCTGGGTCTGCCTGGCTCCCTGGCCCAGCGGGGATCTCCCACCCGGAATTTGTAAAGGAAAAGCAGAGGCAGTCACGGCCCTTTGCCGAACCACCTAACCAGACCTAATTAGTCGATAAGCAAGCTGCCATTTCCTGCCAACCAGCCGCCCGAAGAGTACTCACTCTGTCTGTGAATGGGCTGCCGGGCTCTTGCCACCACCAGAGCTGATGCGCCACCCGCAGAGGCTGGGTGCCAAGGGCATCTGGGAGCTGCTGGGCTGGGACTGCCCTGCTACCTTGCCAGGGAGACACAGACTCCAGGAGGCCCTGGTCCTCATGTTACAGATGGGACACCACTGAGCATCTGCAGAGGGGCGGGGCTGGAACCCAGCTCATGGCCCCCAGGTCCCTGGGGCTGAGGAACTGCGGCTTTCTTGCCCTCGGCCCCTCCTGGGTATGCTCTGTCCCACAACTGCCCAGATAACACCCCAGAAACTAGTTAATGTCCTGGGTACTAGGTCACATACCAAGTATCAGGTAACATCCCAGCAATGTCCTGGGAACAAGACAATGCCCCAGGAAGCAAGCAACATCCTGGTGCCCCAGCAGGTCCTACCTGCCAACGACCTCGATGTTGGAGATGGCGTAGAAGTACTTGTAGAGGTTCTCCCGCTGCACGTACGTGCCGCCCAGCGCGGGGCGCAGCAGCCGCATGCGCAGGTCGGTGAGGGTGAAGAAGTCCTTGAGGCCCTTGGCGCTCTCCAGCCGCGTGTACAGGTTGTCCATGTTGCGCAGGTCGGGGCCCGCGAAGATGGCAAAGCGGTCCCTCACCTCGAAGCGCACGTGCTTCTCCTTCTTGGAGCCGGCCCAGCGCGAGTACTGCTCGGTGCACAGCACGCGGTGCGCGCCCGAGGCCGGCAGGTCGCGGGCACGGCGGGCGGGCATGCCGAAGGCCTCCGAGCAGTCCTCCGCGTAGAACTGGTAGGGCTGCCACGTGCGCCCGTTGTCCAGGGACTTCTCCAGGACCATGACGGTGGGCCGGCCATACTCGAAGGTCACGACCACGTCGTCCGTCAGCTCCACGCTCTTGTTCCACGAAAGGGTGATGTTGGCTTCCAGGGGGCTGGGGTAGCGGCTCCACGTGACGCTCTGCCAGTAGGTGGCCAGGCCCTCGTCCTCCTTGTCGAACATGAGCCGCGGCGGGTGGGCCAGGTCCGGGTTGGAGGCGTCACACTCGTTGCTGCACAGGTAGGGGTTCTCCTGCAGGGGGACAGGAGGAGGCAAGGGTGGGCACAGGCTGCTCTGCGGGGCCTGGGAAGCCTCTGCCCCGCCCCGCCCCGCCCCGCCCCACCGCGTGCCCAGGCGTCTGCCCAGAGGTCACAGAGCCTGTGTTCTCTCCCATGTCCAGGCACCAAGAAGCATCTCCTGGGTCGCTAGTTTGTACCTATTTCCCCAAAACTTGTGAAGCAGCCTTGTGGCTGCCCAGGAAAACACACACTTGTTCCTACCCTAAGCACAGATCATCAAGAAAGGTGGTGTGCCCTGGACGGCTTGGCTCAGCGGCTAGAGCGTGGGCCCGTGGACCAGAGAGACCCATGTTCGGTTCCGCTAAGGGCACATACCTCGGTTGCAGTTTGTCCCCGGCTCCGGTTGGGGTTGTGTGGGTGGCAACCGTCAATGTCTCTCTCACATTGATGTTTCTCTCTCTTCCTCCCTCTCTCCCTCCTGCTCTATCTGAAGATAAATGCAAAAAATGTCCTCGGGTGAGGATAAAAAAAAAAATGTGGTGTGTCACCTGCTCCAAGGTCTCCCATGGCTCCCCATTGCCTGGAAGATAAAGTTCTAACTCTTTAACACATTGACCCTGACACCCGGAGCCACTGTTCCTAACCTCCTGGGGCTCAGCCCACCTGAGCACACCTGTCCTCCAGGCCCCACTTGTCTGGGCCTCTGAGCCTTTGCAGATGACACAGTCCCTGTCCTTCGAAAATTCCTCCCAACATCCTTGACTCGTGAAACATTTCCTGCGGCGAGCCGTCTCCCTGACCCTCTACGCCACAGCAGTTGCCACAGTGCAGCGGTGAGAAAGCCCCACGCTGCAGGATCTGTTGAACTGCCGCTTGGCGCCAGGCACCTGAGCTCACGCAGACTCCCCTCACTTCTCTGCGATTTGCTCTCCCCCTCCACACTCGGAATGGGCGGAATGGGCGTACTATCTTCGTGCTCTGGATGAAGAAACCTGGCCTCAGGGAGCTGATGGGCCTTGCCCAAGGCCCTGCTGGGAAGAGCTGCGAGCCACACCCCGGCCTGTCAGTGCAGAGCGTGATGGTCACCGGTCACTGGCACAGCATTTGTGACTGCCTCACACGTAAGCTGGGCACACTGGCGGGATGCTGAGTGTTTACGGGTTCCAACAAGGAACCCGTTGTTGTTGTTGTTGTTGTTAATCCTCACACGAGGATATTTTTCCATTGAATTTTAGAGAGAGTGGAAGGGAGGGAGGGAGAGAGAAACATCGATTTGAGAGAGACACATCGATCTGTTGCCTCCCGCATGACCCAGACTGGGTTCCAGGATCAAACCTGCAACCCAGGTATGTGCTTGACCGGGAATCAAACCCACAAACCTTTGGTTCTTGGCTGATGCTCTAACCACTGAGCAACTGGCCAGGGCAAGGGAGTACATCTTGGTGGCAAACCATTTCTAGTTCCTTGGCATGTGCCCACCAGACCCAGTGGGGGAGGCTGGTGAGCAAAGCAGAGCACGGCCCCCACTGGCTTACTGTCCTCCCTTCCGCCTCCAGGGGGCTCCCTGCCCAGTGGGGGCCCGCGGTGGCTCCCCTCCATGGCAGTTCAAATCTGGTTCACCGTGTGAATTCATCTGGGGGCCTGAAAATGTCACCAACACCGTGGTTGCCCAGGGTCGGTGGGATGGACAGGTGGAGCACAGGGAATTTGAGGGCAGGGGAGCGACTCTGAACGACTTGATGTGGTGGGTACAGACCCACAGAACCTCAGCACCACGAGGGAAGCCTACTGACAACTGTGGACTTCAGCGAACAGTGACGTGTCAGGGCTGGTTCATCATCTGGAACAAATGTAGCAGCTACACCACACGCGTGCAGGAAACAGCACGAGGAGCTCCCTATACTGTCTGCTCACTTTTCTGTGCACCTAAAACTGCTCTAAAAGCTAACGTCTACTAATTAAAAAATAAAACCACCACTAGGAACTGCACAGCACCCGGACCACTCGCGGCTTTTTTGATGAATATTTCAGGTCTCCCGTTTGCTCGGTGACAAAGGGCTTTGATCTGAGTTAAAGCTGCTCGCTCTAAAGCGAGCCATTCAGCTTCCAGGAGGGAGGGGCTGTGCCCCAGCCCAGTCACCGCAGTGGCCTCGGGATGTCACCTTTGACTCCTCTAGAGGAGGCGAGTTCCCAGGCTGCCCAGGTTCCTCAGTGGGGGGCTGGCCCTGGGCCTGGGGTTTACTGAGGCAGGGTCTACAAAGCTCTCCTTGACAAAAATAGCTCTGTCCTTGGCCCCCACGCTGCTGCTGTCCACCCTACCTGGCCAGCCTTGTGACTCACAGGACCCACAAACATGGGGTTTGAAGAGGTTCACTACTGAGTCCAACCCTCATTGAGCGCATGGGGAAACGGAGGCCCAGGCCTCCTTGTGGGCGGGCTGTTTTCTGAGGATGAGCTTGCTGCTGTCCTGGACAACCTCAGGGGTGTCCGGAAACACTGGTGACCTCACAGGCAACACGATAGGGAGGGGCCTGGTGCAGCTCCTGGAGGTGTAAGCTTCCTGGTGCTCCAAGCTGGGTGACCCTGGGCTGTCACTTTGAATGGGGGGGGGGACACTGAGAGGCCTGCAGAGACAAGACTTCCAGCTGGGGCTGGGGAGACAGGCCAGCCCGTGTAGGACGGCCCCCTCCCCAGTTGCTGGGCCAGCCACAGCGGGAAGGGCGCTCTGAGCCCAGTGCCCAATGGGCTCTGCTCATGACGGTCAGGGCGGAGGGCGGTGAGCAGCCTGCAGAGCTTAGGCCTGGACACGGCGGGGGACACAACTCCCCGCAGCCAGCAACTGCCTTCTGTCCTCAGCCGCCACCACCTTTCCACTGCCCGGCACCTTGTTAGGGGCTAAACTGTGCCCCCTCCAAATCCACCTGCTGAAGCCCTGGGCCCAGCACCTCACCATGGAAGAACTGTATTTGGAGGTGGGGCCTTTAAAGGGATCAAGTTAAAACGAGGTCTTTAGTGTCCTGGCCGGCGTGGCTCAGCGGTCAGCCTACACACTGAAGGGTCGCGGGTTCGATTTCTGGTCAAGGGCAGGTACCTGGGTTACAGGTTCCATCCCAGGCCCCGGTTGGGGGCACCTGCAGGAGGCAACCAATCAAGGTGTCTCTCTCATACAGATGTTTCTCTCTCTCTCCCCCTCCTCCCCTCCCTCCCTTCCTTCCACTCTCTAAACATCAGTGGATTTTTAGGTGAGGATTAACAAAAAAAAGAAAGGAGGTCCTGAGGGTGGGCCCAGGCTGACTGGTGTGCTAATAAGAGGGGGAAATTTGGGCGCACAGAGCATATGAAAAGGAGACAAGAGGTAGCTCCTCATGGTGTGCAAGCCAAGAAGAGAGACCGCAAGAGAAACCAACCCTGCCTTGGTCTTGGGAGGTCAAACAAACCTTGATCTTGGACTTGAAGACTGCAGAACCTGAGAAAAGAAATCTGTTGTTTAAACCACCCAGGCCTCAGCAAACTGGGAGCCTTATCCCAGGTGAGCGAAGGGGGACGGGGCAGGAATGACTGGGGTCAGGGAAGAAGAAGGGCCTGAATTGTGAGTTTTTGATAATTTCCTTCGAAGTTCTCTCTCAGGCTCCTCCATGAGCCTAGTGTCTATGAGCCTAGCGTCACCAAGTGCTGTCAGGTTTCCTTGTCCACCTGGAAAGCTCTTGTCAACACAGCACCGGAGGCTGTGCCTTCTCCCCAGCTGCTTTGTCCCCCTCACCTGAGTTTGTGCTCCTGCAGCCACTCTCTCTCCTCCTGGCTCTGAGACCCTTCCTCCAGGAAGCCCTCCTTGCTTGACTCAATTGTTAAAGTCAGTTCTCTCGTCATCCATCCTGAGGTTGTTGTGTGCTTCCCTGGGGCAGTGTAGCGAAGGCTCCTTAAATGGCCTGGACCTCAGTAACTGTTCACTAAATTATAGCTATTATTGTCATTATATTAATTAGCTACTAGTATAATAAGTAGATTAATGTTTATATATCTCATATTGAGTGTTGACATCATTCCTGTCTACCCCAAACTTCTGTGTGTCACCACACCTCATCTTTTTCCCTGGTCCTTCTTCATCCCCCTGCCTTCCCTCCCCTCCCCCTTCCCAGCCTCCCGGTGGTCCCCCTCACAGACCCCAGCTTCGCCAGCCTGTCTGTCACCAAGAAGACTGACACAGCCAGTTCCTCCAGGGCTCAGGGCCCCCAACCTGGCTGCCAGCCTCACTGCCCTCACCTGCAGGGTCCACTGACCCCCGCCCCCGCCCCCAACCCAGGGAGCAGATGGTCAGACACCAGTGAATCAGCCCATGTAGTTACAACCCGCACCTGCTGCGGAGCGGAGCGGCCTCACCAACAGCGAGGACAATGAATCAATCCCAGGCCATCACCTGCTTCTCCTCCTCCCACCGCCCTGCTGCTGGGAGATCCCAGGGCTGCACCTAGCCACTGAGGGGCGAGGGGCGTGGCTCCGCGGCAGGTGCTGGGGGGCTGAGCCGGAGCATCCAGGAGCCAGCCGCTGGCAGTGGGTTTAGCCCCCACCTCCATCTCAGCGCCGATGACAGCGCCTGTGGGGGCGGCAGGCTGGAGGGTCAGCCTTTGCCTCTCCCTGGTCTCAGCCTCCCCACTTGACTGTGAGGTCAGACTGCACGATGAAACAAACAGTCCAAAAAGGGGCCGAATAGCGGGCAGACATTCGGATGTTTCAGGCGCCCCTCTAAACTTTTCGAATGACACCAAAGCCAGTCTTTGATATTATCGAAAGCAGTGACTGTTTCTTTAAACATTTCATTAATTTTATAAATACATATGTGTGTGTGTGTGTGTGTGTGTGTGTATATATATATATATATCATACCCCTGATGAAAAGCCTCTTAACTTCCTCCAGAAAAGTATAACACACTACATTTTCATGCAAATTCAGGGGGCTTCATGGAGCCCCATCTCCCCAGTTGGGAACCCCTCTTCTGGAGTCTGGGGCAGTTAAAG